AAATTATGAAGTCATTTAAAAAGATTAAATGAAGAAAATTTATCCATGGAAAAAATTAAGTAGACTTAAACCATTCTTAAACAATTTAATAAAGTTGCAAACTTAAATTTGAGTATGAAGGGTTAGGGGGAAAATGGTTTGAGTTCGGGCAAAATCCAGATAGTTATTTTTTAGAGGTGGGAAATTTGAGTTTGGGACCAAATAGGTTGAAGAAGGCCTAATCAATTTTATTCAATACCAAACATTTATAGCTTGAGTGTAAATTGTAGTCATTGCAGCCTCAACAAGTCCACCGGCTTTTAAATAGTCACGTACTTCTCCCTTTTAATAGGCTTTTAAGCCAATGTTGCAATAATTTTAGAGCAATATGATCACAGTAGGAAAGCAGTCACATAATGTACTGTAAGGATTTATACGCATCCAATGTTATAAAATAATTAGAGTATGAAAGTACCACTGAATATTGAGGTGGAATTATATTTGCTCTTATGATTTTACACTGATAGAATTTTCTCTTTCAGATAAAACTCTATAACTCTCAGATTTCTCACTTTCTTTTCTCTCCTCACTGGCGTGCTCTCATTCTCTTCTCTAATGGTGTGTCTTGCAAAGCAGTAGGAAGCTGATATATAGGCAAATTGGATGGAAGCAGCCAAGGCTCTTATGAATGTGCAGTAAGGGCAAGTTACAGACAAGATTTATCCAAAGTCTTCAAATAAATAGTTAGTGGGCTCCACTCAAAGACTTTTACAACACTCCCCCTCGGAGACCACAAGTCCCTTGATTGGTTGTCTCATTAAAACCTTACTTGGAAAAACCTAGTAGGTACAACTTCATTTGGGACATTAGAACAATGTTGAATGCGCACATATTGCCTCGTTAAAACCTTGCTAGGAAAAATCCAGTGGGAAAAATCATAGTCAAAGGAAAAAAAGTACAGCTCACATATGTCCTGTGTTAGAGGACTCTTGAATGCTCCCCCTTATTTTGCATGCTTCAATTCAATAACTTGCAGAGTTGACGTAATCTGATACCATGCACTAGCTTTTGGAATGTACATTTTGGCATAGATGTGGTGAAGTGGTCTGCCAGGTTATCTCTTGAACGGATTTGTCTGACTTTGATTTCTTGACTATTCTCAAGCTCATGTGTGTAGAAAAACTTTGGTGACATGTGCTTGGTCCTATCACCCTTGATGTATCCTCCTTTGATCTGAGCAATGCAAGCTGCATTGTCTTCATTCAGGATGGTTGGAGTGTCTGTTGCTGAGGGTAGGGCACATGTGTTTCGGATGTGATGAATCACCGACCTTAACCAAACACATTCACAACTGGCTTCTTGGAGCGCTAGTATTTTTGAGTGATTAGAAGATGTAGCTATCAACGTTTGTTTCGTTGAGCGCCACGAGATTGCAGTTCCTCAACATGTAAATACATACCCAGTTTGTGAGCGTCATTTATGAGGATTATAGAGGTATCCTGCATCTGCATATCCAACAAGACTCGGGGCATTGGTCGATTCTCTGGAATAGAATAAGCCCATGTCTGTTGTCCCATAAAGATATCGTAGAATATGTTTGATGCTGGTCCAATGTCGGCTTTTTGGTGCAGAGCTATATCTTGCTAACAAATTTACTAAAAATGTTATGTCTAGTCCGGTACATTTTGCTAAGTATAATAAAGCATCTATTGCACTGAGGTATGGTACTTCTAGACCAAGGACCATTTCAGCATCCGTTTTTGGACGATATGGATCTTTCTTAGTGTCAAGGGACTGAACGACCATTGGAGTGCTAAGTGGATGAGCCTTATCCATGCCAAATCGCTTCAATACTTTTTCAGTATAAGTTGATTGAAGAAGCAAAATCCCACTAGCATTATGCTCAATCTGCAAGCCGATACAATATTTTGTCTTTCCAAGGTCTTTCATCTCAAATTCATGTTTGAGATAATGAGCAGTCTTTTAGAGCTCTTTAGGAATTTTGACTAGATTCATGTCATCGACATATATTGCCACTATTACAAATCCAGACTTTGATTTCTTAATAAACACAGTTGGGCAAATAAGATCACTTGTGTATCTTTTTTAAGTAAATACTTACTGAGACGATTGTACCACATTCGCCCAGATTGCTTTAGTCCATACAAAGCAGCTTAAGTCCTTCTTGGACTTTCATGTATTTATCTGCATCCAATTCTCCATACAAATATGTGGTAATGACAGCCATAAGTTTTATGTCAAGTTTTTCTAAAACCCCCAAACTTATTAAGTAACGGAACATAATTGCACCCATTACGAGAGAGTATGTTTCCTCGTAATCAATCCCAGGCCTTTGTGAAAAACCTTGAGCAATGAGTTGCGCTTTATACCTACGATCTCATTTTTCTCATTGTTCTTTCTCGTAAATACCCATTTATAACCTACAAGGTTCACATTGGGTGGAGTTAGAGCAATAGGTCCAAAAGAACTCCATTTTTTAAAAGAATTTAATTCTGCCTAGATTGCATATTTCGACTTGGGCAAATCTTGTCTCTGTGTGCATTTATCAATAGAGTAAGGCTCAATATCATCATCTTTTATGATCTCAGTAGCCACTGAGAATGCAAATATATCATCGATGAAATCTCTTTTCTATTCCACAATTCATTAGTTGTTGTATAATTTATGGAGATTTCTTAAATTTCAAGTATCACTACCAATTTAGAGGCATTTGTCTCACCAAGGACATTTTCCTTTCAGGAAGTACCTGTGCCTCTTCGGGGACATTTGAATCATGAATTGTGGGTTCTCCATTCATTTCATTTGGATTCATTTTGGCCATCGACTTCCTCTTTCAAGGAACTGAATCCTTTGAGCCTAGTGGTCTGCCACGTTTTAGGCGTGCAACATATGAATCATTTGCTGACATATTGTTTTGTCCATTATGGACATTAATCCTTGTAGGTGCATTTGTTGTTGGGATATGTGATTTTGTCACTTTTGTTGCATCATTAAATGCATCTGGGATTTAATTGCCAATACTTTGAAGATGAACGACCCTCCTCATATCGTTTCCGCATTGAGCGATACGAGGATCGAGATGAGACAAAGTAGGTACACCCCACGATAATTTACGTCATTTTTTAGGAATGAGTTTGCCTTGTTGTTCTTTAGGAACAAATTTTTCTCCCCTTAATAGTGGGAAAATTGTCTCCTTAAAATGACAATTCGCAAATCATGCGGTAAAGATATCACCCATCAGGGGCTCCAGATATCGAATGATAGATGGTGAATCAAAGCCAACATAAATTCCCAATCTGCGTTAAGGACCCATCTTAGTACTTTGGGGTGGTGCAATGGGCACATAAACCACACAACCAAAAACTCTTAAATGTGAAATGTTTGGTTGATTACCAAACACGAGTTATACTGGAGAATATTGTTGGCAATGGGCCTCAACCGCACTAGTGATGGTGCATGTAAAATGGAATATCCCCAAGAAGAAACTGGCAACTTTGTCTTCATGATCAAAGTGCGAGCTATTAACTGAAGATGCTTAATCAAAGCTTTGCCAAACCATTTTGAGTATGAACATGAGGAACATGATGTTTAATGTCAATGCTCAGTGACATGCAGAAGTCATCAAAAGTCTGAGATGTAAGTTCACCAACGTTATTGAGTCCAATTAACTTAATGGGATAATCTGGGAATTGGGCTCATAATTCAATTATCTGAGCCAAGAGCCTAGCAAATGAAATATTCCGAGTGGACAAAAGGAAAACATGTGACCATTGGGTAGATGCATCAACCAATACCATAAAGTACCGAAATGGTCCGCAAGGGGGATGAATAGGTCCACAAATGTCCCCTTGGATTCTTTGTTAAAATGATGGGGATTCAACATCAACCCTTGGTAGAGATGGTTTGATTACCAACTTCCCTTGTGAACAAGCCTAGCAAGAGCTATCACTTAACACCATAATGTGTTTTGTCAACAAGGGATGTCCTTTAGAATTGGTAATGATTGTACGCATCATGGTGGATTCAGGATGACCCAACCGGTTATGCCAAAGCTTAAAAGCATTTGAGTCAATGAACTTTTGGTCCACGACATTATGCGCCTCAATTGTCCATATGGTTGTACGGTACAACCCTGATGAGAGCGCACAAAGCTTCTCCAGTATACGCTTATGGGGATCACTGGATGTAATGCAAAGATATTCCATATTTCCCTAATTTTTTGTTTCAATGTGGTAGCCATTCAAACGTATATCTTTAAAACTCAATAGATTTCTTCTAGAGTTAAATGAATATAATCCTAAGTGGACAGTATTGTTCAATTTGGTAATAACTTGGGATGTTCCTGAGCCTTCAATCAGATTTGTAGGACCTGATATGGTTGTTACCTTTGCTTTTGTAAGCATCAAGTTTGAGAAATACTTTCAATCTCGAAGGATCGTGTGAGTAGTCGCACTATCTGCGAGACAAATATTTTGTTAGTGTTCTTATTTTGGGAACATCCATAATTTATATCCATATCTTCAAATAAATAAATAAGCTGAATCAATAAACAATTATTCAATGTAAAGGAAAAACATTGCCACTTTTATTGAATTGAAATGAAAGTTAAAAGCAATACTTCAAATAATAGAAATGGTACATAAGGGGAATTAATCTAATTCGGACCCATAAACTTCATTCCCCCTTTCAATAATAAAGTCAGATATATCCAGATGCGTCATGTCTAACTGACGCAATATTTCCAATGGGTCATGTCTGGATGGTAGATCTAGTATATCCATTGGATCAAGATGATCAATATAATTTGTCTCCACTTTATTATCCTTAAGTGAAGATTGACAAACATTCGCCAAATGTTTCGGTGTACTACAGGTACCCCTCCCGATGTCCCTTTATGCTACATCTGTGACTAGCACCCTTAATATTTCTAAGCACATAGCTTGTTTGAGCTTTCCCCTTATTCCGGGATGCATTTTTTTTGCTCGTGGCTAGATGGCTCATTAGACCCAAGCCATATGAATGGGTACCATGATCTTTTCTATTCCTTTGCTAGCAGTCGCACATGCCTCCTCGCCCACGTATGTGGTACTGCCTTGAGAGGAGGTGACATTCACTTCCTGAGATGCATCATTTTTAGGGAATGGTGTTGAGCCTTTTGGGTGAGATTGGTGATTTTTCAACTGAAGCTCGTTGTTATGCTTGGCCAATAAGAGGTAGGATACCAACTTTGAGTACTTTGTAAAACCACTATTCCTATATTGTTGCTGCAGGAGCACATTTGAGACATGAAAATTACTGAGGGTTTTTTCAAGCATATCCTCCTCAGAGATATTCTCGCCACACAACTTCATCAAGGAGATAATTTTGTGCATCGCCGAGTTGTACTCAGACACTGACTTGAAATATTGGAAGTGCGTCCACTCATATCTGGCTCTTGGGAGGATCACTGCCTTTTGGTGATTATACCTTTCGCATAAGGCTTTCCACAAAACTAGTGGGTTATCGACCGCCACGTATTCGCTTTTCAACACTTCATGAATGTGGCGGCAAAGAAAGATCATAGCCTTTACGTTTTCTTGTGGGGATGCATCACTTCCATCCACAATGGTTTTTCCAAGGCTATTGGCCTGCAGATGGATCTTGGCATCTAGGACCCATGATATATAGTTGTTCCCATATATGTCTAAAGCAGCAAATTCCAGCTTTGCTAAGCTTGCCATCTTCAAAAGAAAATGAGATGTATCAGAATTTGTAATGACATGTTTGCACTTTGTTAGAACTTCAGGTTCTCAACAAGATTTTGTTTTTGAACTTCAGGCCAAAAATATTTTGCAAATTTACCTTAAACTTCAGGTTCGGGATCTAAGACATTAAGCCATTTCTTAACAGAAACTTCAGGTTCCTTTAATTGTTTGAGGAACTTCAATCCCCTATTGTTCATGTATATTAACTGATGATTTCTTTCGTAAAAATAAAGTGCAGTAAAAGAAAAAAATTAAATGGCATATTAATATTATATATTGGGTTTACCACATCACACACTGGTATTTACAGATGCTTAATTGCATCGTCCAAGTTGTGTATATCATTGTGGCATTTATATATCCAATATAGAATAAGTTATCATATTGTGGGCAATATAAATGCGCCACTATTCAAGATATAATAAGATCAGTTTTAATATCACATCACCATTTTTATTACAATAATATATGTTACAACGTGATGGGCAATGAAACTACACTACCATAAAATAATAGGATAAGGGATAAAACAGCGTCATTCCAAATTATAGTTGTTCACCCGTTTTGATTTGTTTCCTGTGATGGTAGGGTAAAGTTCCCCATTAATCCAAAGACCATGGTTGGTCAATAAATTAACTTTCTTTGTGTGTCGAGCGTGCCACCGTTAGCAATTTTTCAATTCTAACAGACTTGAGAGTAAAAATAACTTGCGCCCCAAGCTATTGACTTTGAACAAACGATTGTGAATTTGGGTGAGGAATATCTCCCAAGTAAGTTTTTTTCTATACCTTAGATAAATAAAACTGGGAAGTAAAGCAAAAATACAAGTGTTTGAAAATAAATAAATAAAACAAGTTCAAGAAGAACTGTTTGAAATATAGTAAATGAAAGGAACTGCTAAGTCCAGAAATACATCAAAATATTGGACTTCGAATTTTGCCTGAAATGCCATTTCTGAGACTATTTTAGTCAAGCTGGACTGCACTAGATTGTGTGGCTGGACTAGACTGCCAGGCTGGACTGAATTGGCTGCACCTTCAACTAATAAATATTAGCTGGAAATCGATACCAATGTTGAAATTGGCAGAGCTATAATCAAGTTGAGTTGTGAGTGGCTGGGAATTCTGAGCAGAATCTCAAGGATAGCTTTGAAGGTCCTTGGTACCTTGGTTGGCTTTGCTTCTATTGAAGGCTAGAATGATCAGTGAACTGATTGTTTCTTTTGTATTTGTTTTGTTGATTGTTGGTGGTCCTTTTTTCAGTTCTCATCCCTTGTATTTATAGGAATTTTGGTTCCTAAAAATATCTGGAAAATATCTCCTGGAAAATATCAATTGTGATGAATATATTTTCCTTGTAACTTGTGAAGAAAATATCCCTCTTTTGAAGGCACATGGATGTTTTGCAGAGATACTCAGCATGCTTTCTCTAATAATTCCTTTTGAATACCTTCTGGCCATTTTTGTAACTTGTGCTTCAAAATATCTTAATTGATGATACCACACGGGTCTGTAGTTCCTGAGACTTAAATGGCTATAGGAGATAACTTTTGCTTTTACCTTTGTGTTGATATGGTCTTGAGTTAATGAAGGTCAGACCTCAAGTTTCAAAATATGTAATCTGGAAACTTGGGAAAGCTATTTTGGCTTATTTTATCTCTTGGAATGATATGAGCTTCTTTTCCAATTTTTGGCAAGTGGAGCCCGAATAGCCAGTTGGGCTGATGAGTAAAAAATAGGGAGTTTCACTAAAATACCCAAAATGGGGGCTGAAATTATAAAAATACCCAACACCCAAAACACTTTATAAACATACCCAAAACTCATCATTACACACACTCAAAACCCATTTATAAACATACCCAAAACCCATCATTACACACATACCCAAAACCCATTTTGGGTATGTTTCTATGTTTAAATAGTGCTTGGGTATTTTTATAAATACATGTCTAGGATTGGGTATTTTTATAAATATCTATAAAAAATAAGTCCAAATGTATTTTGGCTAGAATGGAGAGTTTGGCCAAAAAGTGCAAATTTTGGTACAAACAACAGTATGAAAAAATAAATTAAACAAACATGACTGAAACAACATAAAAATTGTGAGAGTACAAAAAAGAAAGTTTGCATGTTGTCGTAATAGTAAAGTGAGAGTAGGCATATGATAGATAGGAGATAGAGAAATAACCACATAATGTTTAACTAGGAAAATTTAGAGGTGAAGAAGAGAGACTATCGTGCTGATAACATGTTATAAAATAGTCATAGTATGAAGTATCACTGAATATTGAAGTGGAATTATATTTGCTCTTAGTGCTTACACAAATAGAATTTTCTCACTCTCTTCTCTTTCCTCATTGGCGTGCTCTTATTCTCTTCTCTGATGGTGTATCTTGCAAAGCAATATAGGCAAATTGGATGGAAGCAGCTAAGGCTCCTGTGAATGTGCAGTAAGGGTAAGTTGCAGACAAGCTATAAAGTCTTCAACTAAATAGTTAGTGGGCTCCACTCAGAGACTTTTACAACATCCAAGACATACATAGAATAGTTTTAGTTGCATTATTATCACATTGGCACTTTGTCAACCTATTAATTGCTTGCAGCAAACAAAGAGGATGATTGAACAAAAAATTGGGTCTTGTGTGGTCACCTAATCCTCACTCTATGAGTCGGGCTTGATATTTTGACATGAAACATCGCTCAACCACCGTTAATTAATACAGACGCAGAGCCACTAAGAGCATCCACAATGGGCTCCCTAAACCACCTACTTAGAAAAATTTTAGGGAGGAATTGTAAAAATACAACTCCAATCATGCTCTCTATCCACCTCCTAAAATAGGAAAACCTCTAGAAGCTCCTAAATCTGAGGAGAGAGAAATGACTCTTAGTGACTCCCTATAATTTAATTCTGCTTTATTTAATGAGTATTTCAAACCTTTATTTAATGCTAACTATTTTTTATCTTTTTTTTAATAGAGATGGACCAATCTAAAAAAAGATATATTATTTATGACTCTCTAAACTAGAGAGCATGATTGAACTTGTTTATTGGCTCCCTCCTCAAATTTTTATTTATTGGATTTGTTGTTTATTGTATGATATATAATATTATAAAATAAATTAGATTAGATTTGAATATTCCAATAGAAAGAAGAAATACAAACAATTTAGTAGATTAATTTTTATTTTATGTATGCACTTTTTTCATGACCAATTTGTCCTCATTAACAATTTATAATTACAATTTTATCCAACAACAAAGACCATTGGTATTCTTTCTTATTTTATATTTCTAATAAGGGTATAATTGAAAAGTTAAAAAAATTTGTTTTACATTCATACTCAAACCAAACATGAGAAAGGAAATAAAGTGGTATTTTCTAATTACTTACTTTTCCAACATTACCAAACATGAGAAATAAATTTTCCATTTACCGTTCGTTAGAAAAAGACATGAGAAACAATTTCTCATCAAATTATTCATAATCAAACGGGGCCTAGTGTGAAATTAACTCTACGATGAGGTAATAATTTCTAAATCCTTTTAGAAAAAGATTTTAGGTGGAAACAAAAGAGTAGTTGAAGGCGCATGTGCATGGTATCGTGTTACTACCATCCGCACCATAAAATACCTCATCTTTGCATAATGAAATACTTGCCACCACTGAGCTGCAAAATAAAAAACTTCTCATTTGGATTTTGGCCAATTCGGATAGCTCAAGTAAAGCGACCATGCTCTAATTCACATTCCCTTTTTCCTGCAATCAATCAAACAAACAATGTCAATTTCCATGGCCTTGTTTTCTCCCACAACCCACATCCCAACCCTCTCTCCCTCTTCATCTTACTCCAAACCCCACTTGACCCACAAGCCTTATCTTCTCAGACCCAAGAACCCTCTCTTCACGACCAAAGCTTCAGCCGAAAATGGAGCAGGAGCTCTCGCCCCAGCTGCCACTGCTGTGAAGCCAGAAGCAGAGTCCAAGGTCCCCGAACCCGTCGAGCCTGTTCCGGTGAAGACTGAGAGCTCTGCTGGGGCTAATGGGTCAGCTGCTGCACCGGCTGAGGAGGTGAAGGTGGTCGGCTTGTTTGAGGACAGCAGATGGGTCAATGGGACTTGGGATTTGAAGCAGTTTGAGAAAAGTGGCAAAACTGACTGGGATGCTGTTATTGATGCTGGTATGGGTTCTGGGTATCTGTTCTTTTGGTCTTTAATTCTTAATGCTTTTTTTTTTAGTTCTGATGCAACTGTTTGATTTGGAAGGAGATTTAATTTCTTTTTAATTATTGTTTAACTCTATTCAAAATAACGCCAATGTTAAATTTGAACTTACTATTTTCTAGTTTTTTCCCCTGCTCCATACGGATCCTTGAAACAAGTATTGGATGAGGGAGAAGCATGATTAGGCCCAATTGAGAATTTTATGTGTAGAATGGGAATACCTGCTGAAAGTGCAAGACCCAAGTGGTTTAATTTGATTTCTGAACTTGCATGTCAATTTGAGAGCAGATAAAAGTTTTGAAACTTAGATGAAGAGATTTCTATGTAAGTTGTCAGGAACCCAAATTTGATTTTTCTCAGACTAATCTACTTTGATCCTCACACTTCATGCTGCTTTATTTTCTTATGTTGGTTTTGGTCTTCATAGCTGGTTGTGTTCTAATTGTGCAATATGTAGATGCACTCTTTCCTTGTTCCTCAATTAAGAAATGTATTCAGGCTAAATTTGGAAATTGAAACAGTAAGTAAAAGAAATTGTTCACATAAGAAGTTGGGAGATATTTCCCAAAGATTTAGACTTTCATTTCTCTTTTTTTTGAGACTCACACTGATAAAGAATGAAATAACTGTCCCATTGACAAAAAGAGCAAGTTGTGAGTCTAGTTTACTTACTGCATATTCAGATATGAACCGTACCTACTATAGTTTCACAGCAGCGTGAATTTCTGTAGTTCTTTTATAATTGTTTTATAGTAAGATCATCTATCCAAGGCTTTTGTTGATTCTTAGTCTAGCATCAATTGCTGCCTGAAATAGAGTAGGATTAAAGGAGCATCCGTTAGATGTTGGTGCACCCTGTATTTAGCTAAAAAATTTATGAATTTAAAAGTTTTCTTTTGCAAAGAAGAGAAACAGATGAGGTGAATTTAGAATCCATTTATAATTGTTTCTTTGGTGAGTAACTTGCATCATTCTGATAATTCAGAAATTACTTGCTTTCTGATGCACCAGTTTGCATAACCATTTTCAGAGGCTAGGAGGAGAAAATGGCTCCAGGACAACCCGGAATCTTCCAGTAATGAGAACCCTGTATTCTTTGATACTTCCATTGTACCTTGGTGGGCATGGATAAAGAGATACCATTTACCTGAAGCTGAACTACTCAATGGTATGTTCAGATCCACTGAATTTAAAAGAATTGAAATGAGGGAAATGGCAATGCACCTCAGACTAATATATGTTCTGCTCTTTTGGGTTTTATGCAGGTCGTGCTGCTATGGTAGGATTTTTTATGGCTTATCTGGTTGATAGCTTGACTGGAGTAGGTCTAGTTGACCAAATGGGCAATTTCTTCTGCAAAACATTATTGTTCGTGGCTGTGTCAGGAGTGCTTCTGATCCGCAAAAATGAAGATGTTGAAAACCTAAAGAAGCTACTGGACGAGACAACATTTTATGACAAGCAATGGCAAGCAACCTGGCAGGATGAGACCCCAGCTAGCAGTCCCAAGAATAAGTAGTTGAATTGTTGATGTTTGGCAGTTTGAATGTAGGTTATTTTCTTCTTCCTTCATTTGAGTTACTGTAATTTCTATGTGCTAGTGGAGAATGAAGCCTCATATTCAATCTTTGTATTTTGGCCCTCATTGTTAGTACTTGTGCGTTTACAGTGACAAGTCACGTTCGAAATTTACTGTGGATCTGTTTTCCTTGTTGAATCCGTGACTCTGCACCATTTGCTCTCTGAACTCCCTCTGCTTCTCCATTGGAAACACTTTGAGTTAATAAACAAACGCCTTTCTTCCACCTCCCTTATATAGGCACAAGAAGTGGCTAAAATTGACCTCCCACTTCAAGCAGCCACCAACTGCATTAATGCAAGTCTAGCAAGGGTAAAAGCCAATGCCACAGATACATCTCCTGTCCTGCATATGCATTCAAGGATTTACCGTGTGCACCGTCCAACCCAGTTCAATTATGGGGATGGCAACGGGGTAGGGCTGGGTTCATGTTTGCCCTCTCCGTCTCCATTCCCATAAAAATTATTTGTCCCCATCCCCACCCTATATCATGTTGGGTATGGGCGTGAGAATGGGGACGGGTAGTCCCCATTTGAGGCAGGTCAACACTGGGATCTGGTGTAACATCGAAAATTGTCACCCTTACATTCAATGTAGAAGTCATTAAAGTAATGACTTGTCTAGCAACCATCACATAGAAAATAACAACTATACTCTCATTTCATCAAATAACTTTAACAAGTTCACAACTTTAACAAGTTTATGAACTTGTCATATTAAGCAGACCCACCCTTGCAAAGTTGCAATAAATGAAAAAAAATGCTTGCAATAAATGAAAGACTCTGTCTGCAATAAATGAAAGGAAAAGGTAAATTCCCATGAAAAATAGCCAAAAAGAAAGGGGACAAAAAAAAAGAAGGAGAAGAAGAAAGAACCACTACTGAGCTTAAATGGCGTCGTTTCGGCGTTTTGCTTAAATTAAAACCCTTTAAAACCCCTGTTGATGTCGTTGAATGTTCATGCATTGACTTGGAGTCTTTGATAACATTGACTTCGGGTCTTTGAGTCCATGAAAAACCGTTCGCATTTTCCATGATCTTTCTTTCTGTCTGTGACCCAAACCTGCTTCCCGAGTATATTCCAAAATCGCCATTTCAACCTCGAAGTTATAATCAATTTACGAATCAAACCATCGGTTTCAAAAAGAATCATCAACGCACCGCTCGTTTGTTCATTGTCGCGTTACGATTTTCCATTTCAATTGGACGCTTTGAAACTGCTCATACTCGAAGATTTTCCGGTAATCTTTTTTCTCTTTTTTCTTGTTCTGCATTATGGTTATTTTTTCATTTGATATTTTTATTTGCACATGTATTTGTTTGCTGGGATTTAAATCAAGTTCTTTGAATTTTGGTTTCTGTTTTCGGTGCCGAGAAAGTACTCAAAAATGAACCACATTGCCGTATTTATGAACATTAGGTTGTTTGTATTTTTAGTCTTCTTTCCATGTTTTCTGGGGTTAGTTTTTATGACCAAAGTTGGATTCTTTGAGTTGGTAAGGTGTTGTCTATCTCCCCTTTCTTACATCCTTTCATGAGCACTCTGGATGTAATTGGGGTTCGGATTCCTGAGTGCTTTAAACATTGTCTTGTAATCTTGTGGGTTGTGAGGTTTGTAGCTTTTAATTGTTTTTGTTGTTAGACCATTGCAAATAAGTGTGTTTTTAATAATTACTCTGCTTTTAGGTTTTTGAGCATTTCATTTCATTCCATTGGGTTAAGAGTTGGAATGGGGGTCGTAGGGGCGACGAAGCATTTGGAATCATCGAGAATAATTGCTGCGCTTGATGTAAGTCATTCTGAGGAAAGACTGGGACAATTTACCATGGAAAATGGTGAGTTATTTTTCCATACCAAGTCAACTAAGTTCAAGAGGCAGATAGTATCTGCTGTTCGTGATTTCCCCCCGGGGTGTGGACGATTTGCTCATTTGAACTCTTTGAGACATGCTAAGGATGCCACTTCTGTGGGTACTTCAACAGAAAGTTTGCTTAGTGGGGGTAAAAATGTTGGTGGACATCGTGGGGTTGAAAAGCTGATGCTCTCAAATGGTCAGGGAGACGAGACTGACTTGATGAATGGTAATGATGTGGATTCTGTGGAGACAGTTGAATCAGTAAGCGCCTTAGAGCATGAAAGATCTGATTCTCTGAAGAATCTACTTCAGTTAAACAATTCGAGAACTGTTGAAGAGGCAGCTTCTGTTGGTACTGAGGAGAGTTTGATCAGCAGGGATACTAATGTTCATGGAAAAAGGGTTGAAAACTTAATGCTCTCAACTGATCATGTGCATGAGACTGACTTGATGAATGGTAAGGCTTCTGGTACTGTGGAGACAGTTGAACCTGTGACAGATTTGGAGCATGAAGCATCTGATTTGCTGAAGAGTATGCATCAGTTGTCAAACAATTTGAGACCCGTTGACGAGATAGCTTCTGTTGGTACCGCTGAGTATTTGCTGAGAAGGGGTAAGAATGGTGATGGGCAGGAGATTGATAAGCTGATGGTGTCAACTGGTCAGGTGGATGTGACTGTCTCGATGATTGGTACGGCTTCTAGTACTGTGGAGACGGTTGAATCTTTAATGGCCTTACAGAATGAAGTATCTGATTTGTTGAAGAACCCATATCAGCTTGGTGTGGCTACTCCAAAGGAAGAGATGGTTGCTGTTCTTTCAGATAGAAATTTTTGTTCGCCACGTGATGGATCCATTTCTGTTTCTATTGGAAATGGTCTTGAGAAGACTGCAGCGAAGAAATGTCCTTCTCGAAGACTAGTATCAGCTGTTCGGGACTTCCCTCCTCTCTGTGGAAGAAATGCTTGTAAGTTTGGTCAAGTGAAGTCGTGTATGGGTGATGAACCAACACAATCGAACACAGCGAAGACTAGTGTAAAACAAATAAGAGAGGATTTTCAAGAAGAGTTTCATAAGAATGAATTGGGAGGGAATGTTTCTGAAGTTATTAGAGACAAGGTTCAACCTAAATGCAAGGGGCATGCTGTACAAGAAATGGAGAGACGGGATAAATGTAAACCAAGTTATAAGCTGAAGGCGGTTTGGAAAGATACAAGAGAAAAGTGCATTGAGAAAAGTCCGCAAGAAAGTTCACAGCTTCCGTCGAATAGAGTAATTGTGCTGGCTTTGATGGCTCCGTCAAATTCTCAATTTAGGAAGGGGAGAAGGGTCCGCAAGCATATACCAGATTGCATTTGATGAAAGGAAACGAAAGAAACTTCGTCTTAAATGTTAGCTAGAAAGACCTAAAACTGCTTCCAGGACAGAAAAGGCAGCTAAACTCATCAGAACCATTCATCAACAAATGAGCCTTCAAGTTTTGACGTGGAGGTTGAACGCTGACATTTTTCAATGAGCCGGCTGCCCTGTTTTTGCCTAAAAGCTAAAATGATCTGTTATTGGCACTTTGAAAATTACACGTGGAGGAGCATGATGACTTTTGTGGAGTGCCAATAACAGCTTCCGTTTTTTTTATTTTTGTAAAGTGAAGTATGAATCCTGGAAGCATGCTGTGGAGCATCACAATAGGAGTTGGTTAATTGTTACATCTGTTCTTTTTTACACCATGAAAATTTCCCCAAGCTACGGATTTCTAGCATGAAATTTGGCTTTACGTTTTGCACATAACACATGCATGTCAATCCATTATAATTCATCTTTTATATTGTCTGCTTCCTTTTTGTTAGTTTACTTTTATTTTAGGTTCGTCACGGAAGGGATTTTGGTAGCTTGCATTCAAGGCAAACGCCCAATGATAAACTTGATTGCCAAATAAAATTCTGAACGTGAATAAACTAAGTACATTCTGAATGTTAATAAACTGAGTACTATTATTTCTTTAATAACAACCCCATTACCTTCATTCATTTCCCATTACATGCACGACTGAAATTTAAAAAAAAGAAGATAAGTTTCTCTTCTTTTACCTTTTTTGTAACGACTAAGAGAACCATCTGATGGGCAAAAAAACATAGCAAATAAAAAGTAAATTCATGCTTCCCAGCCCCTCAAGGTCGTAGCACGCGCAACCCGGTTCACCCCAAGAGTAAAAGCTCCCATTCTCAAGTTGCAGTTATGAATTTGACACATTGCTTTGATGTCATGGAAAGCCTTGTGCATGTACCTTTTAAGCTCACAGTTAACTTTTTCTTCTTCCCACATAAATCCTTGAATATTCTGCAGACCAGAGATGGGAGGATTTTAATTTAAGCCATATATCACAATAGAGGTCATACAGGGCTACAATGGGGGTTCTGTTATCATTAAAGGCTAAATGATAGAAAAGAAGTATTCCCTATATTTGTGAAATGTTTGTAAATTAAATTTGACAAAAAGGACATCTTACGCGATTTATTTACCTGAACCCATTCAAAGTAGCTCACCGTCACACCACCGGCATTTGCATATATGTCGGGGAGAATAACAACTCCCTTGTTGGACAAAATCTGTAGAAGAGGAATTGAATACCTAAGTATGCAAGTTCAGCGACCGGTATGCTAATCTAAGTTTGTAAAAGTGAATTTGTCTTATTACCTCATCTGCTTCAGGGTCAGTGGGATGATTTGCAGCTTCTATTATGAATTTTGCCTTCACATCAGCTGCATTTTCCCTTAAATATAAAATTTGAATAAACTATTATCAAAAACAGGAAAACCGGTATACAATTTTTTTGACTCCACCACAAGTGGGGCTTTTGACACAAAATTTCTGATAAGTATTTAGACATATCCTTTTATGATGTTCTCATGAAGCAGAATACATACTTGTTAATGACCCCTCCTAGGGCACATGGAATGAGAACATCACATTCATGAACAAGCAAGTCATTCGGGTCCATAGAATCTGCCCCTTGGAATTCCTTCAAACTTGCATTGCTCTCTTTGTATCTCAGCAGAGCTGGAATATCAATTCCATCTGGATTTTTAATTGCACCAGTGATGTCACTAACAGCAACGACCTTACCCCCTCTATCATGGATCAACTTGGCTGCCCATGATCCAACATTTCCAAAACCCTAAAATGTATCAACATAATTGTGAAACAATGTACGAAATGGTTAGAAGCAGAACACATATTCATGTCATCACGAATAGACGCCAAGGACAAAGAAGTTTTGATCATGATTTAGGAAAATACCTGGATAACAAACTTCATACCAGAAATTGACTTCCCATATTCAGCAAGTACAGACTCTGTTGCGAAAACCACCCCAAGTCCAGTCGCAGACTCCCTTCCAAGTGAACCCCCAAGATCCTAAATTGGCAACATTATGAATAGAAGAAAAAAAAATTATATGGGTCATTTAATTCTATTGAGTGGAAACAATTACAAGCACTTTGGGGTGGGTGATACTTACAATAGGTTTTCCAGTCACAACTGCAGGTGAATGCCCATGAAACTTTGAGTACTCATCAAGAATCCAAGCCATTGTCTGTGATATTTGAGAATTAAGAAAAGTGCAACTTTCCACCAAACATAACAAAATATTCATCATTTCCATCAGCAAAGGCCGTATTATCAATTTAGTCTGACTGGAAAGAGGATACCTGCGCATTAGTTCCCATGTCAGGGGCAGGAACATCCCTGTGAATTCCAATGAGATCATGGATCCTCTGAGTAAACACACGAGTTAACCGTTCTAATTCACTGATACTCAAGTCCCTTGGGTTGCACCCAATCCCACCCTTAGCTCCACCATAAGGAATGTTTGCTACAGCTGTTTTCCATGTCATTAGTTGAGCTAGAGCATTCACTTCATCTGGGTCAACCTTGCACCATTGAATATTTGATATTTCAGCACACGATGTATATTAAGAAAGCTTAAATGCATGTGGATATTAATTGTGCCAATCCATGAGAGGATTTACTGGTAATACCAATTTAAGATTTATGAAGACATGTCAGCTCTTAGTTTCACTAAATTGCCAGTGGGTCAAATTTGGGTGCACAACAAAGCCAATCCTCATCAAAATATAGAGTTTACATGTCCAGAAGTCTTTCCTCTTATTTAAAAACACAGGAATAAAGGAAAATGTAGATGGGCATAGAACTGCTGCAGGACAAATGTGGTTCATTTATTGGTAATCTGTATGCATGAAGAATTAACTGCAGAAACATCAATACTAAATAATTTAACACAATGTGTAGGACATTTATAGCTAGTTGAACATTTTCACTGACAATAAAATTATTTTGGTGTTCTATATATGTGAGTTTAAGGTCATATGTGGAAAACCATTAAACATAAAGATCATGTTTCAAGTTCTTATTGCAGTTACTGCTTGAAGCAACACCTTCTTTGTTTGGTACGCAAGCAGAATTGTATTAACACTGATGGCAGCAACGCTTGTTAAGGACATCTTTTTATGTCTAAATTAATTTGTCAATTTCCTAATAAAATTGAATGTAGCTGTTACTACTACTACTACAAACAACATGTGTTGCTATTATAAGTGGAACTCACCATCAGCACAGTCTAGGTAATATATCCGGCAGTCACTATCATTCAGATTTCCCCTTCCAAATGTTGCATACTCCTAAAAGGTTTAATAGATTTATGGTGTCGGCCAACTTAAAAGGGAAACAGGGCATTCTATGTTTTCATGTTGATACAACGATAACTAACTGAAAAGGAAAGTACAGAAAGGAGAAACTTATTAAGCATAATAAAACCACACTAGACGACAACTAAAGATGTACTACATTAATCACACCAGCATGCGCAAAATATCAATGATGTTTGGGCTTTACAATATGAATACAGGTAATGTTGTTACATAAGGCGTTTATAGCCAATCAATCATTGGTCACCTATATAAAAACAATTTTACATTGTTCAATTGTCGTTTATCTTCCCATCATACGTTTTCTAGGAAGAATCCAACCTCATTGCTAAGAAACCCTTTTTGTTACATCAAATATCTTGAGGCACATGGATATGCTCATCAAACCGTTTAACAAAACACGGGTTTGACATAACAAACTGTGAAATTCTCCCAATTATTGAGGGTATGTGGGAATCAAGGTTTAACCGTTGATATAATCGTAAATATTACCAAAGGTCCAAAATTGGATGAATCTACAATCAAAACCACAAATGTGAATCCTAATATAAACATAGATAAGTCTTCCTGGCATAAACGCAAACACAATGAGCTCACTTTATACAAATACTGCAACCAGTACGAATCTACTTAATAAAACAAACATTCTTATGACCTTCAACCATTAAAGTGCTCAACTTTTACAGACTAAGAATTCAATTGGGTCAGAGACCAGAAACCCAAATCAACTTGGACATTCACGGGAGATATCAACATTGACATAAAACATCAACAAGATGAAGAGAGAGAAAGAAGAAAGAAATGTAAACCTCAGGGTGGTAACGGATTCCTCCTTTCATCGGCCCACGAGCATTGTCATGTTGGATTCTAAACCCAACATAAGAAACCAGAGTGCCATCATCTTTTGGAATTGTACACTCAACCTGCAAAAACAACATCATAAAAACCCAAAAAAGAAGAAAACCAAATATGAAGGAAGAATTTATGGAATGAGCAAGCAAGAGACAATTACTTTGATTTCTCTAAAGGGAATCAAAAGGCTTTTCTCAAGCTTAGAATCCAGCCCAAGAATGCGAGCTGCATGACGAAAGTTGCGGTTGGTGGCTGCAAGAGCATTCATGGGTGCCTGAAATAAATGAAATAGTGAAAACCCAGAAGCTGAAAGCAAGCCAGAAGAACACCAAGACAAGATCAAGATGAGCTGGGGTCAAGCGAGTGGTATTTATATATGCCAAAAAAAAATAGAATTTAATTGATGGGACATGTAGCTGAAAAGTATGGTTAAAAGCTGGGATCTTTATAAACTTATATTCCTTGAAGAATCAATAAAATAAATGTATTTCCATTGTTGGAAAATGGTGTAGTTGTTTTTGACTTGTAGGACTCTGACACTGCAGCTTTTCAAGTGCACGTTCAAAAGTAGAAAGTGACAGCAAGGTTGGTTACTAGGATATGACCACTGAGGGCTGCTTTTGGTTTTTGTCTTATGTGCTATTAGTGGCGGATTCATGATTCAAAATCCAAGTAAGCGAAACTTACCTTAAAAACTCAACGGTATGAGTGAATTTTATTTATAAAAATAAAAAAATACACCTAGTAAGGGGAGACATAATGAGTCTTACCCTCAAATATGCATATACATAAATAAAAGCTTAACAAAAGCATTGTACTAGATGATGACCCATCATTCTTTTTATTAAAAAAAGAGAACAAATTCTTTGTTTTCTTAGGGTTCCGATTGTGATCCGACATGATAAAAGATAACATATTTAATCAAATATCACAGCAAAAAATCAAACAAATTCTCATAATAACATCAATGTCTTTAATGAAACATTAACATACCAACATCAAATCAAACATCTCAACAATACCAACATCAAATCAAACATCTCAACAAAGAGGAGACAATACTCAATTTCAAAGACCTAATTAATTTCAACAAAATCCCAAATTATAATTCATTTCTAATTAAACCTTAGAATACTCAATTTCAAATTAAAATTAAAATTAAGATGCATACATGTATTTTAGGAAAACCCCAAAAAGAGAAAATAATTAAAGAGGAGAGAATGAGAAATACTTGTTAATAAGGAAGGAGAAGGTATCTTTTGTTTTTTTGAAGTATAATATAAGCGGGCATGGCA